ACCCAAAGGCTGTCTGTCTGAGGCTCTCACGTTGTCGCACACCGGATTAGCAGTTGTTGTAGCTTGGTCTGGGGGCTGCCGCTGCCAAGTGCTTGAGGCTGGAGCTTGGTTGAACCTCAAGCCCTGAACCTGACACACACCTCTCGGTCAAAGGCCCCAGGTCCGAAGGCTGCCAAATGCCGAGCTCAGGTTAAACTCGTGATGGTTTGTGATTTTGGTGGGGTCGGGTCCAGGAAGAGTTTTGCAGCGGGACAGCGCGTAGCAGCCTTTCGGCAGTAGGATTTGGTGCCGGGTTTCGGGCGAAAGCCCGTTGTTCTGTTGCGTGTTGGACTTGGGGCCACCTATATAAGCCAGAACATGAAAAGTCCTGCAGGCAGGCTGCTCGCGCTCCTCGTTCCACTCTGGGTTCATCTGCTCGCACACCTGGACCGAACCATCACGACGATGCGGTATAGGGGTTTAGGGGCCATGTCTACAATGTCTACAAGCATGAGGCTGCACACTCCAAGGTCTAAATATGTCAAGCCAGGCTAGCCACAGCCAAAAGAGTCCATAAAGGTGATGCTGCGACGGTGGCTCCTGATCGGATACTTGCTGAGCTGCTGGAACTGACCTCTGCTTCCGCTCATGGTACTACTACTACTACTCCTCCTCCTGTTGCTGCTGCCGCTACCACTACTTCTACTTCTACTTCTACAACCACAACTACAACTAGTACAACAACAACAACAACTACTACTACTACTACTACCACCACTACCACTACCAAGACCACTACCACTACCACTACCACTGCCTACGACTACGACTACTACTACTACTCCTCCTCCTGCTGCTGCTGCTACAACTACTTCTACTTCTACTTCTACAACTACAACTACAACTAGTACAACAACAACAACAACGACAACAACAACAACAACTACTACTACTACCACTACCACTACCACTACCACCGCCACTGCCACTGCCACTACCACTACCACTACTACCACCACCACCACCACCACCACAACCACCGCAACCCGAAGGCGAATCAGCCAATTAAGGCGCGATCTTTTCTGCTGATGAACTGCAAACGTTAGACCTTGCAGTTCCCTGACTTAGGGACCTTACTGTTTCTGGGTTTCGAGTTTACGGGTGTCGTTATTCTGTAAATTCATGAGGGAACCGGTGCAACAAACATTCCGGCCCCCATGTTACACAAGACCCGAGCGAGGAGGCCCATCTCACCCGTGCGGGCGCGGCTGCTGCCGCTCGGAGTCTGTCACAGCCCATCCTCTCTCCTGTCTACGACAGCGGTCTCTCTTTAGAGTTCAGGGCCTGATACAGGGGCCCTAGTTATCAGGACAGATTTTGGGTGGTATGTTGCGCCCATAATCTGTCAAGGACGCCGCATGAAAACTAGCAGAAATTATGTCGACCTCTATATTGGGGTTTCTTCGGCTTGGGCTTTTCAGGAGGGATGGGTCAAGGGCTGCTGCTTCAAAACATGAGACCCTTGCTTGAAGCACAGAAGCCTCGCTCGCAAACTTTATTGGACCCTAAACCTAGAGGTTGACCCATTAAAAGAATTCCATTCCGAAACCCTAAACCCTGCAAACCCTAATCCTAAACACGGCGAGAAAAAAATCAGGGCTTTATTGCTTCCGTCAGGTTTGAACGCCAGCCCTGGCTCCTGGAGCAATGCCTCTCGCCTGGCACGGAGCTCCTGGCAGCAGGCGCAGTGCCCAGGGGCTTTGAGCAAGCTTTGCGGGCTTGCTTTGCAACATCTCGGAGATGCAGTGACGATCCTCGATGCTCCAGGCTACGCTCCCTTCGTCCAGCTTAAATGAGTGAGGCCTGTGGATTTGGAACTTCCGGGCCCAGAATCAAAAACTGAAACGAGTCAGAATTTTAGGATCGGGGGGAGGTGCCTCTTCTTATGGGAGAGGTGCAAAGCAAGCCTGGAAGGTGGATGGAGAATGAGAACCGCGGGAACAAGCTTTGCATTGCTTGCAACTGATACAGGACCTGCTTCAGAGCAGCCACCCGGCAACCACAGAACACATCGGTAATTAAGGGCAATATAAGAGTCTGAATGTGAAAGTATTAATTACTTTGAACTCCCAGGTATAGTTCTACTATAATATACCCCAAAACCCGATTCTAATTGCTGAGGCCCCTATGCTGCCTGTTGTACCCACTACTTGTAAACAGGATGTAAACGCCGAAACCCTGTATCGGAGATGCAGCAGACTCTTCGCCAGGCAGGCCCTGAGCCAAAACCCTCCACCTGAAAGCCCGGAAAAACGAAAGCACGAAGAACCTAAAGCCCAAAACCTCAAGCCCCAGGATCCCCAAGAAAACCAGCTGAAATATCCCCAACAAGAAGGCATTAGGCTTTCTAAGGCTCCAAGGCTTACAGTAGGATTTCGGGCTAACAGGGCTTAAGACTACGAGGTCGATGTTGCGGAGCTTCAGGCCTCAGCACTCGGAGTTTCGAACCGAAGGGTTTAATACAAGGGCCTTGATGGTTTGAACACGGTTTTGGTGTCCACTGCAGTCTGATTATCAAGGGACTACATAGACGATAAGTGAACACCAGTAGCAATCCCGCAGACCCCAAGCAATGCACAATCAGACCTGGTCCAGTCGCCGGAAGAGCGGGGTCACCATGGCCTTTCTCTGGGAAAGTCAGGGAGGTTCTTTGGAGTTTCTGAGGGGGCTCAAGGCTTCGAGTGTAGGGATTTGGGGATTTGGTGCGTCGGGTTTAAGAGCCTTGGGTTTAGGGACTTGGCTTTAGGGAGATGGAAGATCACAACCTGAGACAACTCAGCAAAGGAGACTGGAACATCCCAGAATAAAACATGGCATCACATCTTACGGTTTTAACAAAAGCATACAGCGCAATATCTAAGCAAGCAGCTACAGCCTGGGTGTAATGCAGCTTTGCATGGAAGTCTATGCAACAGTGCCACGGCTACGCTAGGTGTGGAGCAATCAAACCAGTGCTCGAGAAGTATGTTGACGTTTTGAGGGCTGAGTGTGGCAGATTTGCGCGATGTAGATCACACTCCAAGCTTTGGGGAGTAGTGTGCTATTGGTGTAGCGTGCGGGGTCGAAGGTATAAGTCGCGCTCGTTTGCACTCTAAAACTGTGTCGACCTGCTCGTCGGGAACACTCCGATCAACTGTGCTGTACCGCATGATACCGTGCGATACTCCATCACACTAGATCAGAGTGCATGAGGATCTCTTGAACTGAAGCTTCCCGATGCTTCGTTCGGGTTCTGGCAGCGTTATTCAAACTGAGGACAAGGATCTAAGGCCCTGCCTAAACCCGAAAGCCTCAACAAAACCTTAAACCGAGGTCCGTCTCAGGAGACGGACCTCGCACTTCGGCACGAGGTGGAGGATGTTGACGGATGGGGCCGGGCTTAGGGTTTCGGCATATGGGCTGCTTCCGTGTAAGGCGAAGACTTAGGATGTGCATGTCGCTTAAGGGAGCCAAGGATTCATAGTCTCCCAAACTCCGCAGTTCCGATCACCTCCAAATAACCTGCAACTCCACACAAACCCTAAACCCTAAACGCCACACCCCAAGCCCTCAAACGGTGGTTGCGCGGCCTACAAACCTCCCAAAAAAACTCAACATCCCTGGATCGAAACACCCAATGACAGCCTTCCCTGAACATCTCTTGAAAGAAAGTCTCCAGCACCCCTGGCGCCTGGTTGGTGGAAATGAAAAACCGACGCAGGGGCTCATCACACACGGTGGGCAGGTCCTTAACTTCAAGAGTCTCTGGGCCTTGACCCCCAACAGTGACAAAGAAAAAGAAAGACCGAGCACAAAAAGGCACCCCAGAACACGAACTGTAGCTGTTTATGTTCGGCGCAGAAACGCTACGTAGCTGTTGAGGGCTTAAGCTTCGGATCCTTTGGCTTGCATCTCACCCGTTGCCGTGGCTTCGGACCCAGAAAGCCCACCAAGGAACATCCGGAAGGCTTGTACGGCTCACAAAATGTAAGGGCTACTCGAAGGGTTACTATAAGGTAGACTACTGAAGACTTTGCCAAGGCGCTTTCTCTTCTCCCACGGAGTTTGTAAGGGGAGTCTTGTTGCCTTGGATAGCAGAATTAGGGCTTTGGGGCTTAGGGTTTAAGGCCTATTGAGAGGAGATGAAACCATTTCTTAAAGCCCTAAACCCTAAACCCTAAACCCTAAACCCTAAACCCCAACCGATCAGGTTGCTGCAGACCAACCTTCTCCTTGGGAATTGAGACCATGGGGCTACCAATTCCGGTGGGCACAATATTACTAGCAGATCAAGTCACTGCAGTTCTGAAGAAAGAATCACTTTCAGATCAGCAACCTGACAAGTTGCAGCCCTTTCCGCAGGTCTCAGCTACGGCAATCTCTTTTCTTCTGGGCACCTTGGGCCTCGAGCCGTCAAAAATCTACCCTGGCTGAATCTAGAACCGGAAAATCGTGATTGAAACAGACCTTTCCGGGATCGGAAGCCTTCAAATTTGATTTAAGTAGCAGTAGCAGCAACAGCAGTGCCAGTGATAGAACAGTTGAAGCAGTGGTCGCAGCAGTAGAGCATCAGTCGCAAGAGTAGTAGCAGCAATGGTAGTGGTACTGCTGATGGGAGGAAGGGAAGAGGACGAGACCGAGGAGGAGGGGGGAAGGAGGAGGAGGCGGAGGAGGGCAAGGAGCAAGAGGGGAGGAGTGGAAGGACGAGGGCAGCAACGTAAGCTTGTGATTGCTATGGGTTTTCGTGGTGTTTCTAGCACTTGATGATACTTATGACTGTGTCTGTCCAGGTCTCCTGGGAGGTCCTTGAAAGGGCGCAAGTGCTCCTTCTCATACTCGTAGGCCTGAAACCCGGACAACTCCAGGTGCTTAGAATTTTAGATTTCTTTTGTCGTTTAGGGTTTAGGGTTTGGAGTTGATGGTTTTCGGGCATCTCTTCAAGACCTTCTGAGTCTAGCTGAAAGTCCTGATACGCCCCAAAATCACGTGGACCATGCATGTGCATGTGTATGTGTGTGCGTGTGCGTGTGAGTGTGAGTGTATGTACGTACGTACGTACGTACGTACGTACGTACGTACGTATGTATGTATGTAGGTATGTATGTATCTATGTAGGCAGGCAGGCAGGCAGGCAGGCAGGCAGGCAGGCAGGCAGGCAGGCAGGCAGGCAGGAGGTAGGTATGCAGGTTTGTGTGTATATTTGTGTGTGTATCTATATATATATATATGCATATATGTTTGTGTGTGTGTGTATATATGTATATACATATACATAGATCCAGAGCCTGGACCACCATCTCGAACTTGTCGATGTCTTTGCAGTAGATCGCCTCCACTGTCTTCAGCTCCTCGTACTCCGCCCAAAGCTCGAAAAGCTCCTGGCCCAGAGGGTCTCCCACCACCTCGGCGACCGAAACTTGCGCTGAAATCTTCCTTTTTCTGGTCGTAGTAACAGTAGTAGCCATGGCAATAGTCATAGTCTAGTAGTAAGAATAAGCATGCCGGGGTCATAGTAATAGCATTCATGCAAAATCCGGGCCTTCCGGATCGCTTGCATGGCCTCCTTCTCTTTCTCGTGCTTGGAGGCCACCAAGGTGGGGTTGCAGTACGGCGTGATGTCCCCTGCTAGGGCCTCACAGAGGTCATGGCTGACGGCCATCCGCAAGAGCCGCACCGTGTCGACCTTTTCTGGATGGAACTTCTCCATGCCTGGGGCCGTGTAGTCATCCCGGAGGTCGGCCGGCTGCGTCAGCAGCATGGCGCACATGGCGCAGCGGTGCATGTGATCGGAGTCACTTTCTGGTAGCGGAACTTTCCGCATGACCCAGCCTGTCCGCTTCAGCCGCTTCAGCGTACCACAGATGTCCGAGATGAAGGACAGCGCATCCGTTCCCTCGGTCTTCGCTCTCTTGGCCGCAGGCTCGTCCGCCATGGCGAAGGCAGTTCCTAGCTCGTCCACCGGGAAGGGTCCCCAAAGTGCTGCGCCACCTACCCAGAAGGCAGCAGAGAGCGCTGCGACGAGTTTCGGCGTCAGCACTGCGTGGCCCCGCATGCAAAGGTTAAAAACGAACAAGCTGAGGCTGCTTGGGAGATACGTAACTAGTTACGCTGCAACTAAGGTAAGCTGGCTCGGAAGTGTTGCAAAGTCATACATACTGACTGCGGTGGCATCAATATAGCAATTCTTGATACCTGAACTTTGCAGCAAAAACAGTGACTACAAGGCACATCCTGATCACAAGCAGTTCCAATGAGATGGAAACTCTTCTATCTACATCTCTCACATCCGGCAGTTCTGCCGCAACAGCCAACTCGCCCCCTTGTATCTAGCACAGAAGACCTCCATGGTTAGCCCCACAGCCAGCCTTTCTCCTGTAAACTGTCATGTAAACTCTTTTCGAAAGCCAATCTCTGATCATCTCAAGGTATGGATGCTCATGGCTGCCTTTAACTCCTGAAAGTAGACCCTGGACCTCGAACCGGAACCTGAAATTGACGAAGAAAGAGTGCACTCTGCTGGATAAGGTTCCAACCGGCGCCTGTTTCAGCGCGCGGCATCTGTCCAAAGTGCATGTTTAAGAGAGAGCAAGACATCCAAGATCCATTTTAAACAATACGAGTGCCACTAAACCCAGCAGGAAAAGCGGCAACATGAACAACGGGCAAAAGACTACGACCGACTAAAATGATCACAACAACAACGTGTGATGCTGGAGGAACGGTCATCAAACACAGTAACTTTGTTCATGGGTTTCGTGACAACCCCATGCCGACAAAGGTCTGGTTCAGCAAAAGACCCAAGGCTCCACACCGCTTTCTGACTTGCGTGTTAGCTATGTGGCGGCTGAGCACGGCTCCTGCCAGTACAGTATGTGGTATATGATGATGGTGATGATGATGACGATGATGATGACAATGACCATAACGATGTGGACGAGGATGGTGGAAGTGACCCTGATGACGACGGTGGTGATGGTGGTGGTGGTGGTGGTGGTGGGGGTGGCGGTGGCGGTGGCGGTGGCGGTGGCGGTAGCGGGGGCGGGGGCGGCGGCGGTGGCGGTGGTGGTGGTGGTGGTTGTGGTGGTTGTGGTGGTTGTGGTGGTTGTGGTGGTTGTGGTGGTTGTGGTGGTTGTGGTGGTGATGCTGGCGGCGGCGGCGTCCGATCCAGGGGTAAGGTGGCGAAGTGGTGATAGTGCCGATAGTGCTGATAGTGCTGGTGGTGTTGGTAATGCTGGAAGGGCTGAAAGTGCAAATAGTCCTGATACGGCTGCTGGTGCTGATGGTGCTAATGGCGTCGATGATAGTGAGGTGAAGTTGCTGATGATGATGATGATGAGGAGGAGGAGGAGGAGCAGGAGGGTGATGGGGACAAGGGTGACGAGGACAAGGATGATGAGGACAAGGATGACGAGGACAATGATAACGAGGAGCATGACGAGGACGATGACGACAGTGTTGCTGGCGGTGACGGTGGTGCTGGTGGTGATGATGGCCATGGGGGTGACGGTGCTGATGATGGTGATGGTCGTGATGGCTGTGATGGTGGTGATAGTGTCGATGGTCGGCGATGGTGATGAGGATAAGGACGAGGACGGCGACAAGAAAGTGCCATGAGCGGTTCAGGCCAAGGGGGGGGCCAGTCGGTAGAGAGTTCATGGCCGTCGCAAATCCTCTCAGCTCCTTCTGAGGGGCAATTGAGCTGACTTGCAGAAGGACGTCTGCATAGTTTTCCACAGTGGCAGCGAGGCAGAGTCATCGGAGTACCTTTATGCATCGGCACGAGACACGGACAATCTGCTGCTTTAGTATATTGCAGATTTCACTGATCTTGTCTGTTTCGTGTTTTGGTGGCCATAGGTCTCCCTCAACGCAAGTCTTCCAAGCTCACATCGTTGCACTAGAGAGTTGGGAGGTTCTTGATCCGACATGGCCTCGCGAACACTGTGGTCATACTTTCCTGTGCTTTCAACCACGCCTGACGTTTCAAGCCCCCCCTCCAACGCCGCAGCCTCACAGACTGGTCCTCAGCACTTACCGAACGATCCCAAGAATGATATGGATCAGCGCTCATTCCGGTCCCAAGTCCGGACACAGCTTCTCTCCGTAAACTGTCCAGACCACACAAACGCTGTGGGCACGAGGGTTGGCGCCGCAGCCCCGGGCGCGCCTAAAGCTTCCCCTTTCGGGGTGGCGAATGACGGGGAGCCTTTAATTCCCGCGCAGGACTACAGAGGTGTGCGCAAGCGTGCACTTCGCCGTGCCATCAGGAGAGCACAGCGCTCCGGCGCTACTATGTACAGGGGTAAAGCCTTGCATGCAAACGTATCGCCTCCTTTACCTAAGGTGGTTGCTCCTCCTGCTTCCACGGGTCCTCGTGTCAAGGTGTTTTCATGGAACTGCGACGGGCTTTCAGCCGCGCTCTACGCTGAAATTCTTTGTTGGCTAGGCAAGCACACTGAAATCGATATCATCTTTTTGCAGGAGACTCATTGGTCCAAATCTATGGAATGGTCCACCGGTGAGTGGCACTTCTGTCACTCCGCATCCCTGAGACGTAACTCAGCAGGCGTCCTTATCGGTGTGAGAGCTTCATTCGCCAAGGCTAGCACCATCAGCTGGCAAGAATCACTGCCGGGTCGACTGCTGCAGGTCAGATGCTTTCACGGTCATCAGCACATTGACTTGATCTGTGGGTATCAGCATGCCTTGGGGTTCGGTGACAGTCAGAAGTTGCAGCATATCTATCAGAAGCGTCGTGCCTTCTGGTCAGAGCTTGGCAAGCTTCTTTCTTCCCTCCCATACCGATCCCACGTGGTTTTAGGGGGCGACTTCAACTGCAGCGTCACCCCACTTCCTAAGCTGATTGGCTCTGGCGTTTTGGCCGGCCCAAACACCGAAGCGGCGAACGCTGATCGCCGCCTTTTTCTGGACATCCTCCAAGCACAACAGCTTTGCATACTGAACAGCTGGAGTGGTAAGCTCGCCACGTATCACCATCCCAAGGGGAGGTCTCAGATTGACTTCCTAGCAGTTCGTGTGTCGTTGGCTGATACCGAGGCCAAGTCCTGCAAGCCTGCGGAGTCTTTCCTCGCAGGGTGGCGGTCGGCAGGCCATAAGCCTTTGGTCTCTTCAATCAAGCTCCTCTGGAAACCGTGGAGTGGTCCCCGCGTCACTGCAGCTCAAGCCGCCTTAAAGGCGGCTTCTGAGCTCGGTTTTGGTACTCAACCAGTACTGCGCGTGCTCCATGCGAAGGTAGGCAGCTTACATGCGGTAGCCGGGCGAGAGCGTCCCAGCATGCCGGCACGAGAATCATCTCATGGCCTTATAACCGGTTTTTGGCAACTCCGCCGGCGGGTTTCTCAACTTAGATGGAGCAACACTAGGGGCATCTTTCTGGCATGGCGGCTCGCCATACGGCTTCAAGCATCAAAATGCGCGCTGGAGCGCCACCTCAGGCACACCAAACGTGCGCAGCTGCTTGCTGTCTTAGAACAGGCTGAACAGGCTGCACAGCGTAAGCTGACGGGCGGCTTTTACAAATTCGTTAACCTTTTGTGCCCCAAATCCCATACCCAACGAATCCGACTGCGAGATCAGGCAGGTCAGCTGGTGGACCAGCAGGCTGAGTGCTCTATGTTGGCAGCCTATGCTCGCAAGCTCTTTCTAGGCCGGCACTGGACCTTACCAGTCCTCCTTCCGGTGCCCGCGGCACTGTTCTCCTCACAACACTGGTGGAAGGCTTTCTGTGCCATACCGCGGAATAAAGCGGTACCCATCTTCACACCAAGCATCAACGCCTGGAAAGGTCAGGCCTCCGAGGTTTGTGGTGTCCTTGAGGAGGTGGCTGTAGCGCAACTTGCGACTCGAAAGCCTTGCATCCCTGCTGAGTGGGCGTCGGTCCAGATTGCATGGCTCCCCAAGCCCAACAAGACTCCGTCTTCCCCAGAGAACCTGAGAACGATTGGTCTCATGTCAGGAGATCAAAAAGCCCTGTTGCACATCATCAAAACTCACATCACCGAACCGATCATGAAAGCCCTACATAGGACTCCCCAGTACGCGTACAGAAAAGGAGCATCTACGCTGGACGCAATCCTGCGCTCGTCCGAACACTGCCATCAGGTTCGAAAGCAGCTTGATGCACATCGTTCAGACCTAACCACCAAGTTGTCTGGTCGTAGTAATGTTGATGTCATTGGGGGTTTAATGGCCAACATTGACCTGTCCAAGGCTTTTGATTCCCTCCCATACGATGAACTTTATCTTTCACTCCAAGGTGCTGGAGTAGACGAGCCATTATGCCGCCTCATACTGCATTTGCATGCCCAGACCTCTTGCGTCATACTTCACGGCTCCTGCTGTGAGACTGTGCCCATGTCGCGCGGCCTGCGCCAGGGCTGTCCAATCGCCCCGCTTATTTTCGCCGCTTGGTCTATCAGGATTTGCAAGTTAATTGATGGTATCCAAGGCCAGGGATGGTCGCTCCGTCACCTGACGCTGTTTTCAGACGATACGCATTGCTATTGGCATGTGCACTCGGCCCAGGAGCTAGACCGAGCCATTCAACAACTGTCCCAGGTTATTGCAGTCCTCACCGAAGCTGGTATGAGCATCAATTTTTCAAAGTCAGCCGCGGTTTGTGGCCTGAAAGGCAAAGGCGTTGCAGCTGCACAGCAACGTCATTTCCGCTGGCGTGATGGGGCGCTCCACCTACGGCTCAGGAGGGATACACGTGATCTCCTTGTTCCTCTCGGGGATTCTCTGGAGTACCTCGGTATTACTCTTAGCTATCACAATTTCCAGCTCCAAACAGTCAAAATGAGGCAGGCGAAAGCCCAAGCGAATTTCGCACGGCTGCACAAGGTTCTCCGCGTGAATGGCCCGCTCTCGGCCAAGCAACGCCTGCGCGTCTACACTGCATGTGTTCTTAGC